AAAAAAAAAAAAAAAAAAAAAAAAAAAGGGTGAGATCTAGCAATCCAGGATTGAAACAAAGTGCCTGGGCCCATCCCTAGATGCAGCTACAAACAAAGCAACCTCTGATGCAAAAGATGGAAGCTCAAAAAAAGCTAATAAAAGAGCCTGAGCAATGGAAAGCAAAAACTTTTATGTCCAAGTTACTGCCAACTCCCTCTTTAATTGACCAGCAGGAAACATCACAGCTGCCGATTCCTTCCTTCGCCGAGCGCCGTGCTCCATCCTGCTCCTTCTCTGGGCAGGCTTTTTTCCAACTCCAAACCCTTGCACACTACAACATTATACCCAGGTTACTTTAAAGCAAGTACTCAGCCACATTAAATAATACGACTACTTTCATGTCTCAATGAAGTTACAGCTGAGCTTTCGGCACTTCACAGCAGAGTTGAGACAGAGAACAAATTCAGTTAATTCGTTCCAGGTCTTCTGCTCATGTTCACCCCGGCACCGATATCTGAAGTGGGCGATGACAACCCCAGAGATCCTCTGCAGTTCTATTTTCAAGAGTGATGCACAGTCATTCACATTTTATTTGCTCTTTGGCAAAGCTTCAGATTGGTAAGTGAAACAACTGTCACATAAAAGGAAAGCCTGGTGCAGATGTACATGACTTGCCCAAAATACCTTCACGCCAACACAACTGTGTGCCTAAGTGCTACTCGCCAAACAGAACTATACCCTCCAGAGACCATCAGTTAAGCAATTATGTAGAGTGTATTAATAAAACAAGAAGGGTAACAGCTAAATCTCTTCAGTGTTTTAACACTAGGACTAAGATTTTTTTAAACAATAAATTGTGAGTATGAGCCAAGAAAAAAGACAGGGTTTTAATTTTTGGATTGCTTTACGGGGGGGGAGGGGGGACGGACATGATGAGTGTTGTGATCACTTGGTAAAATGCGGCAAGCGGTATCATCTGCTAGAGGACTGGAAACAGAAGTTTGATGACAAAGGAGTTCAGAAACCTGGAAAGAAGATTTAATTTATTTAAATCCTGGCACCACCAGATGAGTGTAGGTCTTGCAGTGACTAAGGTTTGTTCTAGCAAAAGCACCTCGATGACGACTAGCAAAAGGCAGCACTCGATGACAACTGGGATGTCCAACAGGAAGAACCTGGAGGTCTGAACAAATGGCTGAGTGGTTCCCTACCACGTAACTTGCAGAAGGAAGGTTATTTTTCTGTCCATGAAGTTAGCACAATCCTAAGGGAGCACACTCCAATTTTGGAAGAAGACAGCTATGCTTTTGGACTTCTTGGAGATACAGTATCTTAGCCATCGGGAAAAGAAAGATTATGAAGCCTTCTTCCCCCTTGACCCCAGATGATAACATCCAACCAAAGCATTTATCTTTCCAAACAGAGCTGTGAGAGCTCTGCATATGTCCAAACTATGCCCTGGTTTTTCTTTAAGGTGAGCTGCGCCTGGGCACAAGGATGAAGGGTCCATTTCACATGCTCCAAGGAGCAAAAGGGTCCCTCGTTGGCAGGACAGCGGGATCAGGTCTGATTACCACTTGGTGTTTATGGAAAACACTGTATTAATTGATATGCCAGGAACACTGCTCCTGACTTGCAAAACCCACACACTGACAACTGTTTTAGAAAAGGCCACCTTAATGGCTGGAAAATAATGAGACACCTTCATGAGCGGATGTCCCATGATGACATGAGAACCAGGTAAAGATCCTAGGAAAGGGCTCTGAGAACTTCAGGCGCATGAAGAAGTGAAGATGCTCTCAAAAATGCTGCACATTTGAGCAAAGAGAAATCCTCTACTTACCTGCTGTGTTCAGGATGCAAAACAGAGCAGAAGCTTGTCTTCCACATGTCCAACCTGCCAGGCCGAGTCCAAGACCATCTTTCTGAAGAAATCTGCAGACAAGGTTCTTTGGGTAAATCTAATATCTTTTATTAGACCAACTCAAATAGTTCGAAAATGTCTTCCAACTATTTGTCAGGCTGCTGAAGAAATCTGAGAATTCACGGCCAAAGTGCAGGTCCCTTAAATACAAATTAGGAGGTTTCTTTTTGGAAAATACACGTGTGGAGAACCACCTGAATCACCTCTTCCACTTCTAAAGCTCCACTCAAGGACCAGTCAGCTGGGCTTAAATTGAATCGATTTCAATGCACGATCAAATGCCCTTGTGCCATACTACTCCGTCTAGAGGAAAAGCAGATGAGAAGCTCATCAAGAAGGCTGGTGAACCAAGACCTCCCTGGCTACAACAGGTCTACCAGTACGATGACTACAGCATCTCCCCCGACCTTCTGCAGTGCTCTGGTGAGAGGATGAAAGGGTGGGAAGTCTTTGCGACAAGCCAGCTGCGGCCATGAATTTACAATCTTGCTGGGGATCCCCGAAGCCTTGCAATTCAGGTAGGAGGAAAACGGACCTATTGTTGGGAGACCAAGGTCCTTCTCCAGGAAATGAAACACCAGCGCGTACAGTTCCCACTGTTAGCGATCTGACTTTGTGTCTACTGCGCCACTCTTCCGTAACATTCATCTTTCCTGGACGTGGTTTGGTTAAGAAAGTCGTTCAGGAAGGTATAGAGACATGAACCTCTTAAGCCTGCAAGAGGCTATCCCCATCACCAGCATTTTCAGAAGCATTCGCGGGCATTTAGTTATAGGGAGGGATATAAGAGTTTTTGACTTCCCTTGTTTTCCTGGCTTTTTCCATCATGATACACTCCAGATGGATGAGCAGGGGGTATAAATAAACCCCAGTGACCAGCAAAGAAAGGCAATCCCCTTTGCTCATAATCACAGACCCTGAGGGCCTGGAGATGGAAACCAATGTTTTTCTTCTGTGGGAGGAAGAGCTGGAAAGAGAGATGAAATCTGAGCAACTCCTCCTATGTGGAGCCATATTTCCCCCATGCTGATAGACAGCCCTGGTCTGCCTCCACATCTTCAGAAAACAGAAACCCAATGGCACAGATCCACAGGCCTCATTGCCAAGAAACGATGGCTGTTACATGGGCTCTGTGATAGCCAACACTGTAGTAACATTGAAAAAGCAAATCAACAATGAACAGCAAAGTGCTACCTCCTAGTCGCATGGAAATATTTCTTCTGGCCATCCATCGTATACAGAACCGTAGAAAATTAGGGCTGAAAGGGACATTCAGAGGTCATCTAGTTCAACCCCAGCCATAATTTCAGATCATCTTTCTTAAAAGAAAGCAAGGGTCTGTCAAACACCTGTGCACGTAAGCAATATTCCTTAGTGTCGATTCACGACAAAATTGGTGCCTTCGGATGAGTCTCCAACACTTCCAGAAGATGAGTGGTCCTCAAGGGACTTGGTTACATGCATCTGGTTCCAACCAAAAAAAGCCTCTCGTGAAACTCTGGATCTGGGAACGATCTCTGGGTTAAAAAATAAAGACTTCCATAAATTGGTTCCAATACAGCTACTTTCAGAGCATTCAAGCTCCCTACAGAGAAAATCAAGGCAAACAAAAGGCAATTTGGCTCTGCAGAAAGTAGGACAGCAGAAGTATGAGCAACGACTCACGAGGAAAGAAGAATCTTTGGATTTTAAGGCTGGACTTGAAAGATTTAGCAGGGGGATACATTCCACAAAAAAGCAGCTTATTAGGTAAGAAGCTCTGCCTTAACGAGGAACCAGTTCAAACACCGAGAAGGAATGATGGAGAAGAGCCAAATCAGATGATTTATGGTAGAAAAACCAAAAACAGAATGTCGCAGAGGTATCATCTGCCAGCCAGATGGGCTATAATTGCCTAAGTTATTCTGGGGAGAACCCACGCAGTATTCCCACACCGAGATTGGGGTCACTGAGTTCAATTTTTCCTTTGACAAATAAAAATTCCCCCCATTTCATTCCATTCAGTGGCAAGCGCCTTCTCGCTGGAGATATCACCACACTGCCTTCAGGACGGCACGTCGTCTGTGCCTGCAGGCAGCGTTCTTCCCGTTTTATCACCTAAGCGTTGGGCAGATGCAAGAGGAATCTAGTGGCATCCTTTGCTAATCTGTCTCTTCTTTTGAGGTTTTGTATCCTTTATGGATTTTAGAGGATACATAAGCAGGGCATTGCAAACAGAATTTGCCTTCAGATGTTGCACTCAAGATACTTCTCCTTTTATCACAACCTTGATTGCTTGCTTAGATGATATGTGGGGGATTTCCACGCCCAGCTCTCCAGTTTGTAACTGAAGCCCCCAGGTATCCTCGCAAACATCTCGAACCAACACAGAGCTGAGGAAACACAACACTGGGCCAACTTCAACCCACTGCAATGTCATGACTTTATCATAACTAAGCTATACTATGGAACAAGTGAACACAAGTATTTTGCGAGATACAGCTGGAGATAAGGGAGTCAACGAATCCGTCTTTCTGGCCTT